TCTCTTAATATTTATAGGTTATGTTTAGTACATAATGGAAAGGACACATCTGCCCTTAGTACTTACATAATAAATAAAGTAAATAAAAGCTGAAATAAATAACAACTGAATTAACAAACTGACACTACTATAACTGAAACAAATAACTACACTGCTGTCCTACGAACACAATGGGGACCACTGCAGTGGGGCCCACATCAGTGTTCTCTACAAAAACATAAAGTCCTAGTCCTAGCAAAACAAAAAAGTCCTAGTCCTAGTAAAACAAAACATAATATGGATAAACATAATAAGCGAGCCGGCCCAATCTTAAAAGAAAATAAAAATAACTAGAAAATAAAAGGTGTGGGTAGGGAACCACACATACTAGAGCCTGAGTGTGGGTATGGAACCCCACACTCGTGACTTAGTAACTATTTCTTCACATTATATTTGCTAAGGCTCATCTTGTTTCTTGTTAACACATTGCATCTAATTGATTCTCTATTATACTTTGCCCTTGTCTCATTGATTTTGTTTTTCTTTCTGATTGATTTTAGGTGTGGTTGGAAAAGTAGACTTTACTGTGAGGCACCTATCTTCATCCACAATGAGCTTTCCAAGCACTTGGGATTTTTCAAGTGGTCAGCCATGTATTGGAAGTGGCATTCATGAGGTTCTACTCAACTGCATGCTTCTATCTTCTTTGGTTTAATTGTTTTCATGTTTGGTTGGGAATTTTTTGTTTTCTGAGTGTTTGCCTCTATTTTTGCCTGTTGGTGATGTGTAAGTTGGGGTGTTCCTCAAACATGCTTCTTCATGTAATCTCTGTTTTGCCTATTCTTCTGTTTCTCGATTATAGATTTTTTATACTTATCCCAATAAAAACTGGAATCCTCATCTTGTATTTGGTGATTTCTTAATATCGTTATTACAGACATTGATGGAAAGGAAGAAAAGGAGATAGAATGAATTCAGTATCTCTATTTCAATCCTCCTTTGAGAATAATGTTTATTTAATAATTATTATTTTGGGTTGGTGTTTAAGGTTTAGGTATGGTTCTAAATCATGGTAAAAGTCTTCTGACTTCTCCTTTGTTCTCTGTTTTCTTTTTCTTCCAGTGCTCTGCATATTCAGCAAGTGCTTCATCAGAGAAAACTTGGACTATGCGTACTACCTTTCCAGAATATGTTGTTGCTCTTGCTACCATTGTTGGATCAGTGCTTTTCTCTGTTAGTACATACTTCATTGATGTCAAGTTTTTTCTATGTGATCATCCTTCTATTGGTATGAATGGAGGTTTTAAGGATGGCAGCATGTTGTTGTTGTCTTCTATAAAATCAATACTTCCAAAGCTTCAAACTCTTTCTATGCGATTATCCTTGTATTCGACTATCCATCTGAGGTGCAGGTTTGAAGGGTAGCATACAGTTGTTTCTTATGAAATCACATGGATCTGTAGAGACTACAAACATGCTTAAAATCATGTTAAAGAAATAGGTTTAGTGGGTGAGGTGCTTTATGCCTCACTGTGCCATTCTACACCTTGGAAATACTAGTATTTTCTTACTTTCTTAATTGGTGTACGCAATTTGTCCTTTCCCATCTTGGAAGAATGTCTATTACCAAATAATACCTTCACAATGTTTCATGCAGATGTTTGGGGGTGTTGGTATTGCATGTCTGCCTTTAGGACTCATATTTTCATTCATTCGGCGCCCCAAGGCTGTCATTACTCGCTCTCAGTATATCAAGGTGCTTTTGGCTTTGCACTCTATTAAAATTTTTAGGTATCTAGGGATAACAATCTTGTTATGGTAATTGGTATAATATAATGCAGGAGGCAACTGAACTTGGCAAGAAAGCAAGGGAATTGAAGAAAGCTGCTGATGCACTTCATCGTGAAGAGAGAAGTGGTTCTAAGGGAAGAAAATGGCGTAAAAATGTGAAGGCTGTTGAAAAGGTAGAAGAACTTTACTCTTGATCGCTTAAATGTACCTTTTCTGCATGATATTAACATATTGAAATCATTGAAGGCATATTATTATGATCTAAGCTCTTACACTCTTTTTGATTTGTTTGGTTTACATTACTTGTTATACCCCCTTGACATGATATTCACTTCTTATATGTTTCTTTTCAGTTTTTGCTAACCCATTTTGCAGTTGTAGATGATCTGGATGACTTGTGGTCCTCTTTGGTTAGGCTGTGGCTGGGTTTCTAAAAGCCATTAAGTTCAAGTAATATTTTTTATGGTAGGTGAAGTGTTGTTTAAAGGCCATAGCCTAGTAGAAGTTGAAGCTCAAAAAAGGCCAAAAGCAGGAGGCTTCAATTGGAGTCTCAGTCTCTTTCAGTTTTCTGGCTTTGAGACTTTGATTGGTGTTCTGACAACTATGCTTGAGTATCTGTTTTGAAACACAAAGATCTCTGTTATATGTGTTGTTTACTACAAGACACCCTTTGGTCATTTTCCATTATTGTGTCATGAAACCAAAGCCAGGGGTTTGGAGAATGATGTTACCAGACAGGCTTTCCAAGTATTATCTCCATCTGTGGACGCCTGATTTCTTTTATTTTTTATTTTTATTTTTGGGCTTTGAAAGATCTTTTTGGAAAGCCAGCCAAGCACCACCTTTTATCATTCATACTGAAATTAATCTATTTGTATTATTAGTGTTCCTTTTATGCATATTCTGGTAAGTGATAACTTATTTCATGCCATCTTGATTTGCAGGAATTGCTTCTTTTGGAAGAAGATGTTAAGGCTTTAGAGGAGATGTATCCTCAAGGAGAGCAGGTGATAGACCATATCCTGTTTTTCATGCCAACCAAAAAAAGTTCATATTTGTGGTTCTTTATAGTTCTCTATCTCACTTGTATGCATGATTTATCCAGGCCGAGACTGCTTGGGCTTTAACTGTTCTTGGCTACTTGGCAAAACTTGTATTGGGAGTTATAGGGTGAGTTGCATAACCCAGAAATAGCATGAGTTGCATATTATATGAAGTTTATAATTTCTTGAAATGGTTTATACTTTAGTTCATGCTATAGTTCATCACTTATGTTTTGTTTGAGACTTTGTTGATTAATAAGAGAAAGCAACATATAATTATTGTTATGTTTCTTATTTACTAGGAAAAGCATGCTTTACAGTTACATTTATTGGTCAACTGTTAGGATACAAGTTTTCACTTGGTGTAGTTCAGTTCTTTGGAAAGTATATGTGCAGAGTGCAGACTGTCCATTGGGGAAACTTAGGAGGGACAAGAAATTGTTGATGGCTTAGTTATCTCTTTCCACTATCATCAACAAGGTTGAAATGATAATCTCTCAATGAGCTTCAGCTCCCAAAGGGATCAAACATGTAATCCTTCTAGGGTTGGAATATATAATGGTGCAATATTTGCCCTAGTAAATTGACATCCAAGTCCAAATGGATGTCTGAATAAAATGGTGCAATCTTTTAATCTGGATGTCTGAATAGCTATATGGTTTCTTTTTACTGATTCAGGACCCATTTAGGAGGGCTTAGGTTCATGTGTAGTAGATTTGAAGAAGATACTGCAAGAGTCTTATCTGGAGAGCTTCCTAAATGGCTGTACAATGACAAAATTTGGCTCTCTGGATTTTTACCAAACAATGCTTATAGGCTTTTTGGGTAGGCTCCACCTCCCTAAGCCAAAAGGCACAGTGTGGAAGCCCTCCCAAACAGGCAGTCAATACATTATTATCCTTTTCCGGAAAAAAAAATTTCAAGTCCAAGCAGCATGGCATTCTCCAAATGAGAACGAGATTGGACTCAGTTTCTAGTGGTGCTCCCTTGGAAATATGTGACTTCCGGGTATTAGTGGATCTCGTTTCTTTTGAAAATTTTCCTTTTGACCTCAGTAGGAGAGTTACTTTTGCTTTGTGTAAGCCCCTACTATTGGTTTATATAATACCAACAAAAGGAGGTTCTAGCCATTCTTCATGGCTTCAAATATGTTGACAAATGGCTTAGATTTATCTAGTTGGTGAAATAAGATGATTCTATAATTGCATTATTCATTTTCTAAGAAAAAGTATTTGCATTGTTCGAGTGAGGTTGCCCAATAAAAGTTCTTGAATGTTATTTTGCACTGTCAAAAGAATACAAGGCTTGCTTTTCTCTTCAAATGCCTGATATTTTTGTTTACTTATATCAGCAAATAATGGTACTTTTGAAAAATTTTCTTGTAATTCTTGATTTCTTGTTTTCTTGTAAAATTCCCTCTTTCTCTAATATTAGTATGCACTAACCATAAATGGGATGAAAATGGCCTATGGCAAAGCAAATTGTAGGTAGACAAAACTAGTTTGTGCAATTAAAGCATTTTTAGGAAGGCTGGAACTATGTACACGGGTCAGTTCGGTTTCACATAATTTTATCAACTGATCCAAAACTGTTGGATAATTTTTATGCAAACTGAAACCAACTGATTGGTATCAAAACCAAAACTGTTGGTTTCACATAATTGTTGGTCAGTTTAATTGGTTTTAATTAAACTGAAGGGAAAATCCAAACAATAGACAGCTATGTCAGGAAGACCAGTAAGCAACTTATTGAAGATCCATGTGGGACCCACTACAAACTTATATCCTTAGAAAACTAAAAAATGGCTCAAAGATAGGACATCGATGACAAAAGAGTTGTTTAGGTTTTTCACTTGGAAATTGCTAAAATGTATAGAAGTGTTCAATTGTTCATCTTTAGACGGTAAGGTATTAAATAGTGACCACACATCCCCTTTGTATTGGCATGTGTGCCCAACTATAACACTTGGTCCCCCACGAAGTTTGTGGCTCAGATTTTCTCTTGCTTGTATGAAATTCTGTCATTTCATACTAAAGTATGACACTGACAAGAGACTAGAGAATACAGAGGCAAGCTAGCGACTGACAACCTGGCTCAACTAACAAAACAAAAAGCATAAAGAGAGGCCAGGCCACCAGGGCTTTTAATATATGCATTGGTTTGGGTTGGTTTTATTTCAGCTTACAAAGACATAACCTGCAACTCAACTGAGTCATTGGGTTCTAACATTTTTTAAACTGAAACCGACCATATCGGGTGAAATTGGTCCAGTTTGGTTGGTAACATCCTGTAAACAGCCACAGCTGGAACTTATGGGTAGTAGCAGCAAGTTAACCAAGATATATATTTTCTGTTGGACAAAGAGGTAATATTAGCATCACAGGGATAGTTGCACCATGTGATGTAGGACTGATAGCATTGTTACCAATGAATGGAATATTAGAATGACACAATTATGAGTTTAGGAGGGTTACAATTGGGAATGGGCTTGGAAGGGTTTAAGGATTATTTTAGGACTAAAGGATAGGGATTAGAAAGGTTTTGGTGAGTGTCATTCTGGAATGGCTAGAAATTGGTAGCATTGTATCTTTCTTGGAGGTAGAAGTACCTAATAATATCACTCTTCATGAATCTGCTATATGCTTCATTTCAGTTTTTAGAGCACCAATTCAAATTGTAAATAGAATAAAGCAATCATTACAGATTTTCTTTGGAAATCAGTTCAAAAAAATCTCTTAAACTATGGTGGAGTGTGTTAAACAAAAAATGGAGGTCTTGAGCTAGCAAACTAGGGAGAAATTAAGATATAAGAATTCAAAAAAAAAAAGAAATTAAGTTATAAGAAGGCCATTCTTCATAGGAAAGTATTTGCAGAAATTTTAAGTTGGTCTTTTTGTATCATTAACAAATCTAGAGAATTTAGAGATACCATTCATAAGAAGAATTAAGTGATTCAGGAGAGCTTCTCCTGCTCTCAGTTGGAAGCTTTGGCATGCTATAAGAGCCCAAGAGATAGTGCATGCTTTTTTTATATGCTTGGTTAGCCTTTTAGATTTGCTGTATCCTAGAATATTATTAGAATGTCAACTTGCAATTTGGATTATTTCTAGCATGGTCCATTGGTTCTGGGAGTTAAGCGTAAATTATTGTTGTGTTATTGAATGTCTCCAATTTGATATGCTATGAATTGTATTTATAATCAGACTTACTATTTGTTGCCCCCCCTCCCCCGGAAATTAAAAGATAATGTTTTGATGACATTAATCCCTTTTCATTTAAGGTGAGGGTCTGAAATATGTTAACTTGTTAACCATAGGGCTGTTTTGGTTTCCTCTTAAATCAGATGTAAGTCATGCTTTTCTGGGTCCCTTTGGTCATCAGTGCAGTATACTGGTCTAGTTTTCAATTGCTAATTTATGTACTATTTTGGCAAAGGGCTGAAAGTTCAGTATAACCACATTATATTTGCCTTCAGATTAATTGTGTCAATTGCTTGGGTGGTACACATTGTGATATATCTATTGGTTGATCCTCCCCTTTCTCCTTTTCTGAATGAGGTTTTCATCAAACTGGATGGTATCTGGGGTATGTAATGATAAATCCTTGGTGTGATCTTTTGTCTTACCTACTTATTTTGAATATTCACAATCTAACTTGTAGATTCTACCCCTTAAACAGGCTTATTGGGTACTGCAGCATTTGCTTTCTTCTGCTTCTACCTTCTTCTTGCAGTAATTGCAGGGGCCATGATGCTTGGTTTAAGATTAGTTTTCATAACCATTCACCCAATGAAGTAACTAACCCTTCCTGGCTTCCTCGTTAACTTCATCTGTGTTTGCTTTGGCATTATATGCCACTTTTTTTGTTAATTTCCAATTCAACTAATTTGGTTTCAGGTGGGGAGCAACCCTCATGAACTCGTTTCTTTTCAATGTGGGACTCATCCTCCTTTGCTCCATAAGGTTTGCATGCTTGACCCACTACCCTTTTATGTGCAAATTGAAACAGAAAAGTGTATCGATACTTGGTATTTAATTAGCTAAGATTTATCTCACACTATCTACAAGCCCTTAATCAGAGAAAGAATGCCTCACAAACATCATTGGATGTGTGGCTGCGGTCAGTTGTAGCTGAATAGACTACCATCCTTTTTATTTTTTTCCTTTTCCTATTTTATACAGTAAGTTGGAAACCACCAAACTGATTCTCTATTAGACAATAGATTATGGTATATACATGGATTAAGGGATTTACTCCTAAATAATTAGTATTTTTAAATTGCTTGTATGGACCATGGAGTGCATCATTATATGAAAAAGGTCGGATGTCATTTTCGGTGATCATCACTACTGGTCTTTGCTGTTGCAGCGTCATTCAATTCTGTGCCACAGCATTTGGATACTATGCGCAAGCAACTGCCGCTCAGGAAATATTTGGGCATACATTGCAATCTCTTCGTGGAATTAAATATCTGTACAAGTAAATTACAGCTGCCCTATTTGCTTTCTGATTTTTCCTCTAATATTTACATTTTTTTGGTGGGTCTCTAATGGTTAGATTTGAACCTGTTAGATTGATACATATTGGTTCTTTGCAGATATAATGTATTTCAAATTGCATTTATAGCTTTGGCAGGTCTCACATTTGTATATTATGCGGCATTTGTAAGTCACACTACACAGATACCCTTTTAAATAGATATACTGCTTGGGTGTAACACAACAGATTAGACTACCTACCCTTTTTGTCTTGGAATTTTCAGGGATGGCAAAGGAGGAAACCAAGTGGCAGGTTCCAGCTTTCCAGTTGAAATGATGTGCTATTTGGAAGATCATGGAACTGGGGAACCTCAGAATTCAGAAAGACTTATCTTTCATCTTAGAGTGATTTTCAGATTTGGGTGTGAATGGCCTGATTTTGTTTCCGTAAGTTGATGTCAAGAGGCCATCTCATCCGAGTGTAAATTGGTTGCTGCAGTTCAAGTAGTGTGGTGAGTCCTGCTGCTGCCACTCTTCTTGGCGGCATTTATGGTATTTCTTTATACTATTTGTTTCCATTTCTTTTTTCCTTTACCCTTATTTCTATGTATTATTTTCATCGTTGATTTATTTTATAAGTTGATACGTGCCTGTTATGGCAATAACTTTCTGAGGGATGTGACCAGTGACCACTGTTCTAACCTAGATCTGTCAAGAAAAATATCTCTTTTGGTATGTGCAGTCAATCTTTATGCTCATGTACATATACGAATGAAATGACTTGTACTGCAATATTTATCAAAAACTGGGAACCAAGATTTCTAATATTGGAGAATATCTACAGCAGAAACTTGGGAGTCCAATAAGAAATTCTTTTAGAACGAGATAAATGCTCAGAGAAGGGGGGGAACAGAAAATGAAATGCTAATCCTACCCCCGGTGGCGTTACGTGTTTATGTCATGGTTGCAATTACCAAAACAACCCTCATCAACCTTTGCAAAATATTATAATAGCTTTGACATGAAACCATATAAAGCTAAGGCTGCGATAGTGATAGATCCCCAGTTCTATTCCCAGGGTCCACTTTTGCCTTGTTTTTGACAGTGAATTTACAAATTGGATGTTTTACTTTCTGCTGTTTTTCTTGAGCCGTATATATGGTTATATACGTTTGGAACAATACTTGAGCACATGGGAGTGTCTACAACTACATATTAACGTACACACAGACTTGTATATATATTGCAAGACTTTTGATTTTTTTTTTTTTTTTTGAAAAGGTAAGGTAATTTATTAAAATAAGAACTAGTACAAAGGAGCCTAGAGCCACCACAAATTATAGATACAACCAGTTCTGAGATCTAAACAACAGATTCAAATTCTGATTTTTAAACAACTCCGATGCTGACACCCAGGACAGAAGTTTACCCATAGTTATCTGCACTATTTCCTCTGAAGATTTAGCTTTGCCCTGAAAATTCTGTTATTTCTTTCAATCCAGGTAGTCCAAAGCACAGCAACCGGGATAGTCTTCCAAATCAAGATACTTTTCTTGCTAAGACCCTCAATCTGCCAACAGAACAGTAAATCCTTCATAGAAATTGGCATTACCCAGTTGGTTTCCAAAGCTTGGAGAAAATGCCTCTAAATATAATTTGAGACTGGGCAATGTAAGGCCAGATGTTCAGTAGTTTTTACTACCCCACTACATAAGCCACATGACATCCGAAATCTGAATGTCATGTCTCACTAGATTAATTTTCCAGAGCAAAAACTTCACTTTAGAAGGACTGAAGGAGCTCCAAATCTGCCTAGCTGGAAAGTTTTCTTGACCTGAACTTATCAACTTACTGAACATAGATTTAACAAAAAACATGCCATCAACTTCCCATTTCCATCTCCAAGCATCCTCCATGTTTGGGTCAATCCTTTGGTTCTGGAGCAGGCCCAACAGAATTGTATATTCCTCAATTTCCTAGTCAAAAAGGCGCCTCCTACAAGTTAGGTTCCATTTGAAAGAATTACCATCCGCATTGAAATTCTCAGTCACCGAGGAGTCCTGATTTATAGAAATTTGATACAAGAGAGGAAAGGCATCTTTCAGACATACTTCAGAACACCAAGAGTCTTTCCAAAATTTGATTCTTTCCCCATTTCCCAAGTTGTAACCGATTCCTTCCTCAAATAAACTAGCGTTCTTCATTATACCTGTCCAAATGGAACTTATCCCTCTTGAAATAGGAGAATTGGATCTCCAATCACCCTAATCCACTCTATATTTGTCCACAATCAGCTTTCTCCACCAAGCATTTCTTTCATTTGCAAATCTCCAAAGCCATTTACACAGGAGGGTAGAATTGAGTTTCTTCAATTTTCTTATTCCCAACCCTCCAACTTCCTTAGGAAGACACACTTGATCCTAGTTTACAACATGAACCTTCTCCTCCTCCTCCCAACCTCTAGAGAAAGTTTTTCTGTAGTTGCTCCACTCTGTTAGCCACTTTGGAAGAAATAGGAAATAGGGAGATGTAGTAAGTAGGTAAATTAGAAAGAGTATTCTTAATCAAAATCACTCTCTCCCCAAAAGAAATGTATTTAGCTTTCTAGGAAGCCAATTTCTTCTCCATTCTTTCAACCACTGGATTCCAAATCTGAGAGGAAGTATATTTAGCTACCAGAGGGAGCCCCAAGTACTTGACCAGAAGATGGGTAGTCTGACAAGCCATAACTTCTGCACAAACTTCTAGATTTGTAACAAGACCTACAGGGATAATCTAAGATTTACTCAAATTAACCTTAAGTTTAAACACCACCTTAAACCAATTCAAAATTCCAAGCACCACCTCCAGTTGATTAGGAGAAGCATCAACAAAGCATAAGGTGTCATCAACAAATTGAAGAATATTGATTTTTTCTTTCTCCGGAGCAATTGCAAAGCCCTCCCAAAGCCCATTCTCAGCAGCCTTCTTGCTAAAGAGAGATAAAATTTCCATGATACAAATGAAGAGTAGGGGAGAGAGAGGATCACCTTGCCTCAAACCTCTTGAACTTCCAAAAAAACCTTGTCGTTTGCCCGTTAATTAAGATGGAGAACTTAGGAGTCTTAACACAAACTCTGATCCAGTTTCTCCAAAACTGCTCAAAATTCATTTTCTCCAAAACCAAATCCAAGCAGTGCCAGTTAACATGATCATAAGCTTTTTCAATAYCYAGTTTACAYAGAACACCTGGGGTCCCCTCTCTTCTTCTGGACTCCAACAGTTCATTAGCAATGAGAACAGAGTCAACCATCTGTCTACTTGGGACAAAAGCACTTTGGTTACAGGAGATAACACTGCCTAACACACACTTCATTCTTTCAGCCAAAACCTTAGCTAAGATTTTGTAAAAACTGTGCAAGAGACTAATGGGCCTGAAGTCCTTTATATTGACAGCCCCCTCAATTTTTGGAATAAGAATGATGAAAGTTGCATTCAGACTTCTTTGAAATGAGGCATTAGTGTGAAATGCCTGAAACACCTGCTTCAGATCACTCCTCACAATATCCCAACATTTTAAATAGAATAGATTAGATAACTCATCAGGACCCGGTGATTTATCATTTTCTAGCTTCTTTACTGCACCCTTACTGCACCCTTAATGGCAAGACTTCTGATTTCTATTTCAACCCTGCCCTATTTTATTGCAACATTAGGACTTGATTTATTTCTGTTTTGGTGGATCATTAAGAACTACTTAATGCTTATGACTAGTTGCAATATTAAGGTCTGCTTTATAATTAGTTTCAGTTTTGCATACCTGAGTGCTGCTGCCGCAGCAAGTCCTTTACAGAATTTAACTTGAGAAAGAAAAAAATGAGTGGTTAATCTTGTTTTCATGTGCGAGTTAAAAATAAGTGCAAATAAGATGAGGATATTGAGATGGATGAATAGGACTACACTGATACAATCAGAATTCCCATTAAAGAAGATTTAGAAAGTGAGTAGATGAGAGATGTTGATTGAGGTTATTTGATCAAGGGCCAGGCTGGGAACTGAGCAAATCAAAAGATTTGCTCCCACTCTTCGTGATCCCGTTTTTGGCTCTAGAGGAACTTGATTAGTCTCAGGATTTGATCGGTCGAATTCAAGTGCTCGTTGAAGTAGTGTCGTCAGACTCGGATCAGAATGGATTTTCAAACCAGGAATAACAGCAGTTTTTTTTTTTTTTTTTTAAGAGCAGCAGACCAGAAACAATTTGGGGTGCGAGTTTCTTGGAATGTTGACCGTCAAAATCGCCCAAATTGCATGCTTCGGCAGGTTTCTAACCTACACAGTCAATTTAATCCATGAACCAGACCAATGATCAAGAGTTTTACGTCTGGTGCAAGGTTGAAAATATTGTTACATATTGGCCTGTATTGGTCTATACGTATCGTATTAGGACCTTCCTGATACGCCCCTACAGGGGGTGTATCGGGTCAGTCAATTTAATGTTCAAACAATTCAATCCATGAACCAAACCAATGATCAAGAGTTTTACGTCTGGTGCAAGGTTGAAAATATTGTTACATATTGGCCTGTATTGGTCTATACGTATCGTATTGGGGCCTTCCTGATACGCCCCTACAGGGGCTTAAACCGCCCTACCGGCATATCGACCTACCGGTGTATCCTGTATCGATATTTAGAACCTTGGTTTGGTGCTCTTGTACAAGTCTGATGAATAAGACCTGATTATTTTAGCCTTGGCATATGAATATGGTGCCAGAGACATGATGCCCTAATACATTACGACTTTTTTTTTATACTGATTTTTCTGATTTCCACCACCATCATCTCCGGAATAATCTATAGTTACATCTTACATGGTCTAGGCAAACGAACCACTATTATGGACCCGATTATGTATGTGAAACAATCTCTATGATGACCTTAAACTGATGAATAATAGTCCTCAAACTTCACATTACCCAAACTGGACAAGAACTACTCTGTTCAGGTGTGGGGTGCCGGCAAGGGCCAACCCAAATGCAGTATCAGTACTATTTAAAAGGCTCAATCAGCAAATTTGGTTATTACCTCCATATAGTTGGCATCGGGCAAATTTGGTTGGTTATTCTCAAGAATTGCATACCAGCATTGCCTATTACATTAGTTTCTACGAACAATCAATCATCTACCAGATAAATGCATAGTTTAGAATATGGAAAGAATCTTAGTACAACTCACCCTTCAAATACAATGAAAGGGTCTTCAATTTTTTCAATCAATTATTTCACTTGATCCAAACAACAATTGCACTACATTTTCAGTTGCATAAATCACCGAGTTGGTTCCATGGTGCAGCTCATATTGTAGGGGCAAAGTTCAACTACTGAGCACAGGATAGAAGCCAACACTTGTCAGCAACTAGTCCCACTGTATCTCCCTGTGAAAGGTGCACTCAGAAATGTTTATTGTGGTCTTCCCATCAGCAGCAACCATATCACATGGCGAGTCTTCTCCAAATTCTGTAGGCAAGGACTTCCAATGCAAACATGGCTCCCATTCTGCTTCCTTGAGGATCCTTAGTATCTCCTCCACAACTATCTTGCTTCCCTCAGCCGAAAAATGAATACCATCTCTGTAGATGGAAAAAGGAGTCAAAAGTAAACATGTGATGATATATCGGCATGATTATCAAATTAAAAAATCTTACCTGCTGAATCAAACAAAAAGGAAGAAAATGCTTTTGTCTCATGAGGTTTTTGGTTGGAACAAGGCATCCATTAGAATAGAGACGAGAACAAACTGTTTATCTATCATGTCTTACTAATAAATGGTGAATGCCTTTTCATGGTGAAAATGCATAAAGGGAAAATGGTCTAGGTAGAAAACACTAATTATGAAGATGACATCATTGAAACCAAAAGTGGCAATTTTTATACAGTTGAAACATTGATTCCATTATCAGGATGGGATAGGGTATGCTCATGTTTCCGCCATGGTACTTAGAGAGGATAGTGAAGAGCTAATGCCACGCCTAGGAATTATCCTGGGCCAAAAGTAGTCCAATGACATGCTCTGACCCAAATCTTCATGTTCTGTTTTTTTTTTTTTATCTTTTCCTGGGTCATTCATCTATGTATTTTTTTTCTAATTATGAAAAGGATACGATAGATCAGATGCTAAGATCATCCATTGGCCAATTTCTTACCTAGCAAGATATCATTTTCATTACCTTGATTCCATTATCACAAGTAGAGAGGCTAAAGAGGTTGTTGCTCAAACAGTGGTGCAGATATGATGGATGTAGAGGTGATTCATGACTGGTGTGTGACCAGAACATGCCAATAAAACTAGGAACAGAAGGTTTGATTTTTTTTTGACAGTAAAAAAAAAAGTCACTAAAAAGAAAAAGCAGATACAATTTGGTGAAGAGATCTCACCAAGGCATTACAACACTGACCCCCAACAAAGAAAAACATAACAAGACAATTTTTAAAACCAAACTAACATAGCCGCTCTAAACTACACATTACTCCACTTTAAAGTCTCCGACAACTTGTCCCCAAAGTTACATATACCATGATTCTTAAACTCTGGATGAACAATAGTCCAGTCCACCATTGCAGCTTTACCTGCTACAATCTTAACATCATCTCTAGACTTATCTTTGAATATTCTCCCATTTCCTTCCCTCCAAATGCTCCAGCAGACCTCGAGAGAAATGATGCTCCAGAAAATTCTAGCTTTTTACTGTCTTGAAGCCTTGGCCATTTTGTGAAAATCTCTAACAGAGTATATGGATTCTGCAATGGAATCTTGAACATCTCAGAAAACAAGGGCCAATTGAAGACCACCAGCATGCAATGAATAAATAAATAAATAAATAAATGGCTTGGATTTTCCTCTTGCACCTTACCTTACACGTGATACACTTGTTTAGAATCTAAAATCCTCTTTTAGTTGATCAATAGTGAGAATACTCTCCAACACAAGCAGCCAAGAAAAAACCTCCACCCAAGGGGGAACTTAATTATCCCATAAACCTGAAAAATTGCTATCATCCAACTCTTCTCTTATGCATTATAGAATGACTTAACAGTGAAAATGTCATTTTTACATTCCTTCCACCATCTATCATCAGGTTACTGATATCCACTCTGATTTCTGCCAGCTTTGCATACAAATCAACAATTTAAGCATATTCTCTGTCCCAAAGAGGCTTCCTGAATTTAGGACACCAGACTATTTGATTTCCTATAACCTCAAAACACTGGGAAACAGTAATATTCTCCAAGCTTAATTTATACAAACTTGGACACATCTTACAAAGCTTCCCAAATCCACATCACTTGTCTTCCCAAAACCTCACTCTACATCCCTCCCCTAAAACAAAACAAATTTAAAGTAGTTGGCAAACACATCTTGGAACTTGGCTATTCCTTTCCAAATACTTACTCCATAGGAAGAAGAAACTTCTCGTGTCTCATTCAAGACTCGCCCCATGCCTATGCAGCACCACTTTCCTCCAAAGAGCCTCTCTCTCTCTCTCCAAAGCCACTCGCCCAGTAATGCTTTGTTGAGAATCTTGACTTCTTTCTTTTTTTTTTTTTTATCAAAAACACTTTCATTAAATCATCAGTAGAAAATTTACAGGAGGAAGACAAACACACTTATCTTATTCCCATACATCCTGCTTTCATCAGCCTACAAACCTTTTCCCAACCAACCAGATGCAAACCCCCATTCTTCTCACTTACTCCCCACATAAAGTCCTGGATCTTTTCAATCTTCTCAGCTACACCTACAGGAACTTTAAGGATTGCTAAAAAAATATACCAAAATGCCAGCAAAGTTTGGTGTTATGTATAGAACTGGCCATATTGCTCAAAAAACAGGATGTTAGTTGATCAAGAAACAACACCTCATCTGGATAATTGCAAATACTGATGATGTTAGTTGATCAAGAAACAACACCTCAAAGGGAAAAGGGGCTTGGCTTCAGGCCACTAGAAAAGATTTGAAATCTCATCTTTTAACAGATGATGGACTACCAGTAAACCTTAGTCATCCAGGAACTATATGCATACAGACAATTATACTTTTGTTTGCTATTAAGATATATAGCTTACATTGTCTCACATATTGTATTTGTTCTTTAATAATTTGGTGATTTGGTTCAACTACATAATGATATATGTCACCAAGAGTCCAAGATATTGTGCAACCTCTTTCTAAAATCCAGGAATTGACAGAGCTAGTCCAAAAACTCAGTGTGGCAGAAATGTGAATGCTTAGATGGATGAGTGATAAAACTAGAAAGGGCAGGCTTAGAAATGAAGTCATATGAAAGAACCTGGGAGTAGCTCCAATAAATGGTAAAATGAGAGAAAGTAGATTGAGATGGTCTTGTCACATGCATAAAAGACCATCTACAGCACCTGTTAGAAAAAGTGATCTTTTACATATTGAAGGGACTAGAAAAGTTAGGGGTACACTGGAACAAATTCTGTAATCTTCTTTCAAAAGATTCGGTCTAGTTTTCTTGACAATGGATAACTCCTTAAAAGAAATGTAAGATAAAAGAATACTATATTATGCCTCCTTACCGGAATGAGTCTTCATCTACCCCTAAAGCAACTCAGTTTTAGGATTTTCTTTTATGCCTCAACATCCTATATTATGCCCCTTTCCTATTGTTAATATAAAGAGAGGTGAAATGAGCCTCTTATACCTTGGATCAAAGCTAGGAAGATTGTTATCTGATATCATTATAGCATTACATGAAAGCTAATTAATTATTCTATGTAAAATGCAAGACTAGGGTCATCAACAAGCCAAGCTAGCTTGGTGTACATAAGCTTCTCTCATGGGAGACAACCCTGACTCTGAGTTGAATTTCCAAGCTCTTTTGAGCAGTCCCAGTCCATCTCATTTAGCTCAGCAAGCCTAGGCCAACCTACAACTGCCTGGCTTTTTCTACATTCAACTTGTGTAGATATTTTATACCAATAATACTTGAAGCCAAAAGTTAATTAAGAATATCTATTTCTAACCAATTCATTACTAATTCTTTTTTATTTTAATAGCTTGGAGAAATGGACCTTGGAAGAAGGGTTTTGCAAGATTTCACATAAGACAGTCCTGATATTTCAAATGGGCCTAGACAACTGAACTCAAGCCTGCTATCCTTAATGAGTTCACACCATCCTTGAATTTTTTACATAAAGTAGTTAGATCAGTTCTATTTCTTCAATATCACCCACTTCTTTTAACCAATATTAACATTAACTTTGAGGGGTCTAAGAAAGAGAACACCATAAAGAGTAAGAGAAAGGTTAAGCAACTGTAGAATGGATCAATGAGGATAATATGGGGCTTAGGTTGATAGTTGCTAGTTGGCTTAGATTGATAGTTGCTGAAGTGGTCACCCCATCCCTTGGGACTCCAGCTGGTATCATCATATATGGAAAAAGAAGTTATTGGATTGACAGTTGCTGGACTAACCATGTTTTCTCTGTTCCCTTAAAGTTTAAGAACCATGAAGATAGTTATCAATGGGCCATAACCTGTGTGTGTTCCCAACTCTTCAAGTTGGTGAAAACAGTTCTGGGAATGTGCAAGGCATCCCATGAGTGTAGGTGATGATTTCAACATGATCACATAATCACATTCTCCAGTGGGAAAGGAAAGGAAGTTGAATAACAAGAAACACATAGGATTTTGAATATTTGTTAATGACAGCAGTCAGAAAGATCTTTTCTTCAATATCTGGTCTAACATACAACCTCAATAGGATTTCAGTTGTGCCCAAGTGAGAGGAACATTTTGGTAGACTTTACCAATTGGCCCCCTTTGGCTACTTTAGGAATATCAATAAACCCTATTATGTTCTTCTAACATGAAGTTAGGATACTTTTTTTCCTACTCCTTTCTTTTTGAAACATGTCTCACTGTGCAGTTAAAGTGCCAAACCAAATATTAGTAACCAAGTTGGACATGTAGTCTGGTCAGCATTTTAGTCGGGTTTCAGGTTGGATTTGGATTGATACCAAGTACCAACCTGTGGCAAATCCAACCTGCAGATAGCATAGCATTGAAACATCTGTACATATATGGTTGAGTATAGGTGTAGTGTTTGTTGAGTGGATCAGATCATGTTTGGAGTGGCTTAGGTTGGGGTCAGATTGAGCCAAACCTGCACTGAACCAAACTATTGATCCCTAGCAGAAAAGATACTAAGGGAATAGATATGCCTTACATAAATAAAAGAGAGATAATTGCTCAACTTGAAGGAAAAATAAGAGCAAACCCCAAGTATGCTAGCTAACAAGCTTTGAAATCCTACTCAACATAGTTTCATAGTTCCAAGAATAAACAGGATCAAAGGCACAAGCAAGAAAAGAATGGCTCCCGGTAACCATACATAGACTTTCCTAAACTTTTAGCTGGACAATAATTCCCACTTCCCCTGGACAAATCCTTATTTTAAGTCCAAAACTTAGCACGAAGGTAAACAAAAACATATTGATAAAAATTCATTTTCCAAATCAAACTAGGACAAAAACATGATTAGTATTCTTCAACTCTCTCATAATTTTTTTATGGATAACAGAAACTTTTATTAATAAAGAGATTAAAAAGGAGGATACAACAGGAGGGAGGGGTAAAATCTCTTAACCCTCCCTGAAAGTTTACTTCATCAAAAAAGAATAGCTCCTCTCACCCCTTGCTTAGACAAAGAGCCTGCCAAGGAATTGGCACACCTTTTAGTCCACTGAAAGTGAACTTCCATGTTTTGAGTCAGATGTTTAATTTTCTTTTTCTCATTTAAGTATTTCCACAAACTGAAGTCTTCCTTCTGCAGCCACCTAATAACCAGGCTAGAGTCACCTTCCACCACCAGTTTTCTGATATTCAGCTGCTGTGCTCTTTTAATCCCTTCCAAGACTGCCAGTATTTCAGCCCTCAGAGATTCAACTCTCTCATAATAAAGGATTTCAATAAATTTTCCCTTTGAAATCCCCCAATAACTACTTCCAACAAAAAATAAAGATCCTTCATTGACTCTAGTTAGAAATTAACATGTCATGCACTCCTAACCACACCCCCAATTCACCCTTAGGTACATGTAGGCCCTACATCTTCCTCTTATGAGGCAGGATTGCACTTATCACTCTCAAACAGGTATGGGGTTGGTTGGAAGGGATTTTTTTAGTTGATCCCATATAACATCTCCCAGATGGGAATGGAATAATCAACAAGTTTATTTTTTGCAACATAGTATTTGTTATGCAAATAGAACACCATAGGCACATTTGTGGGTTCCTTGATATTTTCAAAATAGAAATTGTCAACTGGTTGAGTGAAATGTTGGATAAAGAGGATACCAAACTTACGTAAAACACACATTCATCCAATCATCTCTCTTCTGAATAGCATTAAAAAGATCAACAGCCTTTACATCAATTTCCCTGCAAAGCTCTAAACAAGCATCTGAATATCTGTGACAGGCCTCATTTGTCCGATCTATCTCACTAAATATAGCACTGCTTGCAGAGAAAACACCCATGTAAGAATTACTTCTATTCTAGGAACCATAGGAAACAGATCAGAAAAAGAAATACACAGTATTTATCAAAGCACCTTGTTCCTTTGCGAACCACTTCCTCATTGACAGGAGGACAGCTAAGAAAAATAATGCGTGTATTCTCTGAAAGACTCTGATTGCCAAACACTTTTGTTAAAATGTTTGTACATACAATGTTTATAGAATGAAATCTAAATACTTTCCAAGTAGAGCTTATAATAATCTACAAATGAGGAATATCAAGTCATAAAATGAACCAACTAAATGCTTGATATATTGTCCTCGCTTGAAGGTCCAAGAGGTAAAGAAGAAGGCTAGCATAGACAAAGAAGTAATAGGTTAATTCCTAGTAGACCATGTCTTTATTTTTGGCACGATACAGTTTATCCCCCAGTCAGCCAATGGTCTATGGCTTTGGTATCTACTTGTTGGACATGACCCCCTCAAATAGAAAAAAGATTATATATGATAAGATATTACCTTGAGATGAAATGCAATCTTTCTCATGTTTTCAACATACTCTGGGAGTGGAACATGAGGGCCTAAGCCAGATGAATGAGGGCCCATTGAATCATTTCCCCCAAAATAAACTATCACCAGAGAAGGTTGTACAGCAGCATCCTAGAACAAAGACAGGATCAGGATGTTAGTGTAGAAGCATTAGTGCATGACAATGCCTTGGAAAAAATAAAAACTTGCTAGAAACACAATAAGTGGCACAAGTCATGGAAAAGTGTAGGTCATTCCACTCAAAGAATTTCTGAGACAGGTAACAAACAGCTGTAAGCCAAGTAGCTAAAATTTAGTCCTATTATACCAGAATAACAATACATGTCTCAGACACAAATAAGTACCTGATACAACACTAGGTTCTGCAATAGACTCTTCTAGAGTGCACTCTATAAAATAAATACTAATATGTAAAATGATGTGCACCACCAACAGCTCCAGTTGGAAGAAGTGATTTGTTACAAGTGGAAGGGGCTAGAAGAGCTTGGGGTAGACCAAAACGGACAAGGGTAGTAGTAAGAAATGATCTAAGCACTAATAAACAGTGGATATGACTTTAAATAGAACGGGTTGACGAAACAGGATTCATGTAGCCGACCCCATATAGTTGGGATAAGGCATGAGTGATGATGATGATGAAGTAAAATGATGTGCTTTAACACATAATACTATAGAAAATCTGTATATATCAGATGTTTGCATAAATTTGTCAAGATGAGTATTGAAAAATGGCACTTGGCTTCAAAAGTAGTAGATATAGAAGTATGATATAAGCATATTAACTAGGATATGGAGAATCATATCCTTATTTCTTGTATCCATGTGTATGTATCCATATCTATGCGTCATAGAATTGTTCTATTCACAGTTGCAAAAGAAACTACCAAATAAACATCTTATGTGCACAAAATGTAGCTCTGACATTTATAAATACAAGATTATTGCACAAAATGTAGCTCTGACATTTATAAATACAAGATTATTGCAGGTTTGGTTCAATCTTGAAACTGGTAGTTTGGCTACAGATCCAATTTCTTAGATTAAATGTACTATTTGTTTGCTCAGTTCATGACATTCACTAAGACCAGGATGCCAGCCGGCTAAACTTGCATGTGTCAATTTGTTAAAATTGCAACCTGATTGATGAATATACCGTCCATAGTCACAAAAGAATTCAGAGATGCTGATGTCATAAAGGTTGAACATTAATATTGTGGGCCTCATACATGGCTAAACTACAAGAATAACCCCACAACATCAACAACCTAATAGTTAAATGATCGGATGCTTCCTTAAAGGATAGGCAACATGCACCATGAGGATGCAGAAAACATGTTGAGCTCTTCACAATTACAAAATAGCGATTCGTTAAATGGTTGACACTGTAAAACATGATTGAAAAGAAATGATGATTAGAGAGAAAAAGAAGAAAATAGTGGGATTGGACAAGAAACGAGGCTCTTTTGATATTACAGTTCTTTAATGGATAAGATGTTGTCCCTATTGGGACAGTTATGCTTAATGTCCTCTGTTGAGGAGTTGTTTATCACTTTTATAGGCTGTTTCTATGTTGGTTCTATGTTTGGGCAGCCAGGTAGCATGGTCTTTTCTCTTTCTTTTACTAAGGACACTTAAGTCCTTATTTTTCACTAAACATGGGTATAATTGTAAACACATTATAAGTAATATATAAATACCCAGCCATCTGTTAAAGTGGGATTAGCTGATTCTAATCCCAATCGAACAGGGGCTGAGGGTTTTCTTCTTTCTCTCTGCTACGGTTACAACTTCTTCACTTTTCTCTGCTGAAACTTAGTTCCAATAGATTACATCCTCTTTAGGTATACTAGATTGGAGATATATGGAGATTCACAGGTACTAGTGAGCTGGTTAAGGGATGGATGGTGAGGACTGAGGAAAGGCCATGGTGTTATTATTGGCAACCAGGGAGAACACCTCATTCTTCTAGATTAGAAAATCAGCCAATGATCTAGCAGACTCTTTTTCCAGAAGTAATATAGGCAGGAGTTTTTGTATTGATTGGGGCTCAGCCCATCTAGACTATTTGTCTTGGGGTGTTGAGGGGCTGATTAGGTCAGGTCAGTGGCTTTTGTTTCATTTTCTTAGGTTTCTTGTTATGATCCCTAGACTTATCTTTTCTATCCATTAATAAAGTCTACATTTGGTCCTGTTAGCAATCAAAGAAATGATTAGGTCTGGATTTTTCTCAGTTTCAGGCATGGCTTCAATGATAAGGTCTGCATAGTTATTTTCTTAGCCAGATTGAGACTACCCCCATCTTGCTAACGTTGGAATGTAGAAAGGTTCGACGAAAGAGGAACATAGAGAGAGTTTTTTATAGTAAATGCAAATTCATTAAAAAAGAAAAAGAGAAAGGACTATAGTGAGAGCTTTAGGGTTCATTCCCCCCACATTTATCCCTCTTAATAGTTCCTGTTGATTTGGAGGAAGTTCCTTCCCGGTCAAATTTATAGAGAGTTTGTGTGCTTCTTTTAGAGTTCTTTATTTTGACTACCTTCCTTGACAGGTTCCGTTATGTGCTTAAACCAATACATCAAAATCCCTAGGACTGTTGGAACACGTAAACCACGGCAGTTTGACCATTAAGGATGTATGGCCCGTAACAATAACATACTGCCATGCTTCTGTAGCTGACGTCCTGGTGGCTCTCATTCTAGGGAGCTCCTACTCTGGCAGCAACTAGCATTTTCCCTAGTTGCTCTCACTCCAACAGTAGCCCTTTCCTTTGGCAGCTCTCACTCTGGCAACAGGTAGCCCTTTCCTTTGGCAGCTCTCACTTCGATCCAGGTAGCCCCTTCCATGGTGACTTTCACTCTACCCCGAGCAGCACTTTTTCACAATGGCTTTCACTCTACTCCAAGTCCAAGTAACCCTTTCCATGTTTCAAACCTAAGATGTGGAGTAGGCTTTGATACCAATTATTATGTACCTAACCAATATTCCAAATGCCCTAGGGATGAGGAAATGCATAAAGACAAGTCATTTAATCATTAAGACCATACAAAGTTCCTTGTGGTAGAGAACTTGTTCTCAAGGAAGCACATTATTCCCAGCATGTGTTTTTGTGCAAGTTAGCACAAAATTGGTTCACGACTGACTTTACTTTTCTTCTTTCCTTTTTTTTCCTAAAAGGCAATGCAAAAAGGATAATTTTCAACGAGAAAAGAACAGAACCATGTAATGGCTCACCAATAAAAAAAAAGTTACATAATTGTTCACTCATTCACTGCCATAAAGCCCGTTGAGCAAGAGAAAGAAGAGGAAGAGAAGAAGGAAGAAGGAAGAAGGAGAAGGAAGAAGAGAGAAGAGGCTGGCGGACTTAATGCCTCAAGAGAACTTGCTTCATGCGAGTGAAGCATTTGTATTTATACTATACTGGCCGTACAACACAAGTGGT